AGAGAGAGAGAGAGAGAGAGAGAGAGAGAGAGAGAGAGAGAGAGAGAGAGAGAGAGAGAGAGAGGAAGAAGAAGAACAGAGGAGGGCGATACCTCAAACATGAGCTTTTCAATCTGTGAATAATAGAGGTTAGCAGCCATCAACCTCGAGAGCAAGCATACATCTCGGGTGACAGCAGCAGTCACACGTGGGTTTCCTGCACACACAGTGCCAACATACATGAATTAGAACAAGCAGTACAGTCAACATTCATACTTCCTATGCCTGACCAGGAGTGAGGATCACTGCATAGCCCAGAGAGGCCACACAGACTTTGGTGCGTTAAACAGCAATTACCAATCAGGCTTGAAGTGGTGACACTTACCCAATCCATCATAATACACTGAAAGACTTCAGGCAGCACTGAGGGGCATGTCTTCATCGTCTGAATGACGTAGGTCAGACAGCCATCAGATGAGTTAAAGTTGAACTGAACAGGAACGCTATACAACCCTGGTGAGTCAGCGAAGTAGTAGCAATGGTTAGGCCACGCCTTCAGATCTGAGAAATCAGAAGACAAAATATTGGTACTGGGAACAGATGGTGAGAAAATGATAAACTCCTTGGAGCTCGGAAAGCAGACCAAATCTTACCATCTCGATCACCACCCATCCAACTGCTGAGCTGCAGTATGGGTGCATTGTATGGCAGACGCTCCTGAATTCCAATGGTCCTCAGTGCAGTGTCAATACGCCGGAGAAAGCGGGGAACGCCATCCCAGATCGTCTCATGAATATAGCTCATTCCTGCCCGCATCTCATCTTGTGGAGTTGGCTGTATCCGTCGTATCTCATCTGTGCGCCAAGCGGCTTGAATCTACAGTCATAAAGTTGATGGAGCACCCAACCATGGAGCAAATCAACCAATCACTCATCCAATCACCCACCAACCAAGAAGCAAAGCAAGAAACCAGTCAAGCGGCCATTCCAGCAGAATAGTTAACCAGCTAATACATCAGCCAATCAGGCAGGCAATCCATCAGCCTGTCAATCAACCAATCCGGTAGCCAATCCGATAGCCAATCAGACAGCCAATCAAACATCCAATCAGACACTAATTAAGCAGCCAATCAAGTCACAAGATGGCATATACATTGCCACATACTACCACAAGAGCCATTGACAAGACACAGTGCCATGCGAGATAACAGAACTGAGAGAAAGGCAAATGCCATTGAGGGTTTTCATCAGAGGTTTCCTAGGTATGACCATGCATGTGTACATGGATATAAAGTTATAAGAGTTGCTTATGTCAGGAGGGGCACTATCATTACTAACAATTTTCAAACAAACGACTTCAACACTTTTCCATCGTTTCCGTACACTCTTCCTTCCATTTGGGCGACGGACCCCTCAACATCATCGATTACTCCACACACATGCAGGATTGACTGTCAGCTTGCCTTCCCGCTAAAATCCAACATGTTAAAACAAAGAATCATAGAGGAAGGGGTATTTAATGTATTTTTGATGTGCGAAGGAATAATGCTGGGGCTCTGGTCTAAGACCATCTTTCAAAAGGTCATCCCAGAGCTTGAGTTTGATCATGCAGAATGGGCTTGACAGCCAGGAGCAGTCAATAAAAGCGAAGCCCCCATCACAATACCCGATTTCACTGTGAAGATGGGTTATAACTTATAACTTGTAAGATGATACTTGAGACAAAAGATCAGGAATGTAAGATGATACTTGAGACAAAAGATCAGGAACCGGCGCCCGGCCAAAAAACTTGAGAAGTGGAACCGAGCCAACCGGCAATTTTGCAGGCTCGGGACTACTACCAGACTAAAATGGCTGGTAGTGCCAGCCAAAAGAAAAGAAAACGTGCCGCACTGGCATTTCGGCAAAGCTTGGCTCGCAGGGGGAATCCGCCTCAGCAAAAAGAGGCTTGGATGTATTGGTGGTTTAAGCATAGATGGATGGGCTTAGACTAATCAGACAAGAGGCAGATCAGACTGCTAAAATACCATTGAAAAGAGATACCACCCATCAAAACTAGAACCCTTCAACAATGGCTAATAACCAATGCTACGGTCCCGGTTAATCATTGGCTTCACATCAGAAGACGGAAAACCGACCCTAATAGTTCTGAGAGCTCTAATGTGTGTGTTCAGATCAATAACATGAAAAGATATGATCCACTGCCTAATGAGATGTAAGGAGGCTACACAATACTGGTCCAGAGCTTCGGACGTGTTGAACCACCTATACACCTCTCTCCTGCCCAAACAACCCATCCAACTCCTCTGTGCTAACACCCCACCCCACATTGGCAAACCACAAAGGTTTGGTCTGGGATGATCCATAAAGTGACCTGTTGGGCCATCTGGAAAGGAAGGTTTAGCGCTACGCCGGACGATACCAGAAACTCCGATGACAAGGTATGGACTGTGCTACTAAAGGCATGATCGAGGCTGAGGTTGTATGTCGATGGCGAAGAGTCGAATTCTCAGCACAGAGAAACCCATACACAGAGCAGCAAACTTCTTCCCAGATCCCAATATGTGTGGATGGAAAGGCAGATTTCTGTGTGCCCTTCAGGTTCAGGACACCCATTCAAATTGGAATGGTACAGAGAAGACAGGGACTACATCTACGGTAGAGAGACAGGCACAATTCTGATATGTCAAGTCAGAAGGCCGATTGCCCAGTTGCCAGAGCACAAGGGCCCATCTGGGCTTGAGAGCCAGGCAGTGACTCGTCAGCAAGAGGAGAACAGCTGAACCTAACCCAGCAGGGGTCTCGCTCATTATTTGATGAGAAGAAAAAGCCCAGCAGAGAAAGGCGGGGCAATTGTCAGAATATGTCATTGAGAGCAGGGTAGTTTTGGCGCCTACCGTCGGCAGTCAGCGCGCCTACCAGTCGGGCCGACCCGTAGGCGGACCCATCTGCGGTCGGCAGACTGCCTTGCAATCTTTATTTTTATTTTCTGATTACATAGTCGTGCGCGGCTTGAGGAGAGCAGCCCAAATCCACAATAAAGTTTTTTGGGGGTGGTGGGGGTTATATAGGGGAGGTATAGGGCTGTCTCTTATACACATCTAGATGTGTATAAGAGACAGGTACATGGTCGTGCGCGGCTTGAGGAGAGCAGCCCAAATCCGCAATAAATTTTTTTGGGGGTGGTGGGGGGGAGAGCATTAGACCGGTTTACGCAGTAAGAGCATTTCGATCCAGGCCTGGGCCGGTAGTGAAAGCGGCAGGCCACTTTTGGGGGTGGTGGGGGTTATAGCTGTCTCTTATACACATCTAGATGTGTATAAGAGACAGGGCTTGAGGAGAGCAGCCCAAATCCACAATAAAGTTTTTTGGGGGTGGTGGGGGTTATAGGGGAAGGTATAGGGGCTGTCTCTTATACACATCTAGATGTGTATAAGAGACAGCACTGAGGTAGGATAGTAGGGATAGGGGGTGCACTGGGAGCATTAATGTGGGGAAGGGTAGGGAAGGTGGCCTATCCTGTCAGGACAACCACTGGCTGCCGCTGCCAGCGATCAATACTGGTAGGGTGATGGTCCTGAGTGCTGGTCACACTGAGGTAGGATAGTAGGGATAGGGGGTGCGCTGGGAGCATCAATGTGGGGAAGGGTAGGGAAGGTGGCCTATCCTGTCAGGACAACCACTGACTGCCGCTGCCAGCGATCACTGTGGGTCTAGTCCTTGCCCTCTACAACACCCTGGGCTTAAAAAAAAAAAAAAAAAAAAAAAAAAACGCTATGCCAACCGAGGGTGAACTGGCCCGGTCGACCGGCCGGTAGGACCAGTCCGGTTCCAGTTGGGGGAGGGACTCCAGGTCCTGCCGGGTTTACAGCACTGGTCCTATGCCAATTCTGGAAAACGGTAAGTATGGGATGACCACTATGTTCCTTCCCTTTGCCCACCGTCTTCACCCGGATACAACACCTCCCTGTATCTAGACTGAAAATTGTCCCCAATCACAGCTATCATGACCAGGTATTCTGTCCGGGGGAAGACCGCAACCCTGAGACTGGTGGAGATTGCCCAAGGGTAGGCAAAGAGCTCAAGGGCCATGAGGACTAGTCGGGCTTATGCAGGGATAGACCCGCAAAGGAAATGCTCTGAGTAGGACAAAGGGCTGAGGGACAGGGAGCACTGGTGGGAGGGAGCATAGTCTGGGACAGAGGGATAAAGCACCGGGAGAACTGGTGGGTATGAGTGAGTATAAATGGCAGAAAATACTTACATTTCGCCTCAATTCCTCGCGGATTTCCTTGAGATCGTTTGGCCTTAATGTTGAATCTTCATGCAACCGAAGGAGAGTAGCTTTGATCTTCTGATGCTTTGCAAGAATGGACCGTCGGATTGACTGCGTTGGGTGGGCGGTCAGCACAAGATCCACAGACTGTTGCTTCAGTGCTGAGAAAATCTCATCTGGGGACTTGCCAAGCTTGACGAGTTTTGCAAGAGTCTCCGTGAAGTTTGACTCTGTGAGCACATTCTCTTCATCGCCAAGACCACCAGTCTTCACATTGGATTTTTGCTGGAGAACCATCTGAACCTCCTCAGCAATATTCTCAAGATTGAGCATGTGGGAGAACGCGCTTGCTGTCACAATTGCTTCGGATGCTGACAATGTCTCCATGAATGATACCAGTTTTGCCAGATGCTCAGAGCAGAGACTCAGCGAATACTGTGCTGCCATTTCGTAACATTTCTTCACCTGTGGTTTTCGCATCAACCAGTCCAGTCACCACAAAATGGAGGAGCCAGTGAAACAGACAGATCAAGAAGCTCACTGAAGTTGGATCAGTGTCTCATCAGACTCATCAAGGAGATCGGTTATCATTTCTTTGAGTGCAAGGTGCTGTACTGTGATGCACGCTTGCTAGGATCATGACTCTTGGTAAAGCATCAACGCTCATCAATGCCTGCACATGCACGTTGATTTAGCATAACAACAGTTTTGTGGTCATGATGTGTTCAACAATTGCATTTGCAGTACTCTGATGTCATATCAGCACATGGGGGAGCTGACAAAACAGTGCAGCACTTCATCATCTTGGCCTATGCAGGGCCAATATTATTATGCCAAATATCAACATCATTTTTCCTGAATGAGATGTTCTGCACACTGTCTGATGCGATTCAAATCATTCAATCAATCAAATCAAAAAAGCAAATGCAACGGAGCCAGTTGAACAAAGGACGAAGGCAAAAAGATTGGAAGCTTTTGACATCATTGAATGATAAGAATCATAAGAGTGATAACCGTTTTTCTTTTTTTTGATTGATTGTTTTTTTTAACCCGCGTTAGTTGTAATATCTCAGCTCAACCATGCAATAGTCGTGGGCCATGGGTCGTCATTTCGCTCTAAGGGCCGAAACAGGGGTCAACAGCCAAGCCCAAGTCATGAAAATTGCCTAAACAAAGGCCTGCTACTGTGGGTACCCGAACCAAGACCTAAAACTGGGCTTCAGAGGCCCAACGTGCGACAGTTGACCGTGAAAAGTCAAAGGTCAACAGCAGCTCGGAAATTCGGGCTCACGAGTCAAAGTCAACATGGAGCCAGCCCAGGCCATCGATCAGACACACACACTTGGCTGTTTGCAGGTATCTGTCGAGATTAAGTCCAAGTGGGAATCTGCAACTGTATGGGATCCAGGCCATTGGCCGTGAGTCAATCTGGGCCATCGTATCTGAGAGACCAGAGGCTGGTCAACCAGAGTCAACACTATCTGTTGACCCAGCCCCTGCTGACCAACATTGAGTCTTGCACTTGCTGCTTGACGCTGGCTTGACGCTGGCTCTACGATGGTTGGACATTCGGATTCTTTCAGTTCACGGGATTTAATGGTGTCCTTCATTAGTTTTTCCTGAGGATCTTTCCTTTCTTTTTCCTCGGCTACCTCCTTATGTACAGCCTTGTTCTTTCCTTTTACAAGCCTCGTCACCGTCTGCAATTCTGCGGTGATATTGTCAATTTTAATATATAGGTGTGCTAGGTAGGCCATCATGTTCTGCAAGATAGACGCCACCTATTGTTCTTGTTCTCTCCGCTGCCTCTGGTATTCTTCCTTCTTTCTTATCTCTGCATCTAACGCAGCTTGCAACTGTTTGATCTCTGCGTCTAACACAGCTTGCAACTGTTTGATTGTGTCGTCCATTATTTCTTAAGTTAATTCAGGTTCTTCTCTCCTCTCGCTTGCTTTTCCTTTCCCTTCTTCTTTGGCCCAGCTATCTTTGTCAACTGCTCAGCGACAATTTGATTGAGGGCCATTCGTCCTCGGTCAATTATTTGTTGCACTCTCCTGCTGGTTTCCAGCATCTGAGCGACAGTTTCAGCGCTTGAAAGTTTTTCTGCAGCACGCAGATCGCACTGGCTGCAAACATGTTGCTCAGTGTCTAGCCCAGCGCCGAGCAGCTCAATGAGACGGCCCAACATCTGCTGCCGTCTTTCTTCCACTTGGCCACGGATTCTGATCACCCCACCTTCTTCATCACCGAAGAAGCTGATTGAGATGGGAAAGAAAAACAAAGAGATGAATCTTGTCAAGATAGACGCACGCAAACAGTTCCAGAGGTAAGTCAGTTTTGCCAGTGTGTCTGCCGCACAAGGACGGCAAGAAATCTGAAGTAAAATGCAAGGAAAATAAGTAACAGCGAGATGACAATTCCAGACCACACCATCACATTGAAAGCCAAATAGTCACACCGTGTCCAGAGAGCAGCATTGCACCAATATTACACCAATGAAGGTTCGTAGCACTGAAAACCAATGTTCATGGAGAACATACTCTCTCCTCCCAACACACTCACACTTGGCGCTCAGCGCCCATCCTACTCCTACACAGCTACTACAGACTATGAAAAGACAATGCAACTGTTCACATCAGCGGCAGCCCGAAGTACTTGAAGATGTCGCCCATGCAGACCATCACCAATACAAGGTAAGTGCCCTCACATCATCATCATCATCATCATCCTTCACCTATCCCCTGACTACACCCACACCTGTCCTCTCTTTCACCCGAAGACCMCCCCTGCGCTTCACTGTAGTCCAAGCCCACCAGCTATGGTGGCTGGGCTATGGCGCTGCCCTCAGCAGCRCCCTCCTCTGCAYGACCKCACRTGCTGCACCTCGCCTCTCAGCGCCAKCCAGCAGCYGCGAGCCTTYGCTCCAGYAGCGCTGSCGCTAGCATGCGAGTGCCTGAATGAGGCAGCCAGGGCCGAGCTCTTTCCTTTATGGAAAGAGTTGGCCTGCTCTCGCAGCCTGGCTGCACTGGCCTGGGCCCAAAAGCTTCCGGAAGGCCCCAGAAGGCTGCCTATGTCCAGCAGCTACTGGGCTGTTGGGCCTCGTTCGGTTGGGCGCCCAATTGTCTCTGTATGAGGCTGCGAATCACGCCCAGGGCCTGCATTCTTTGGAAAGGCCCGAAGGGCCGTGGAAATGTCTTTGTTGCTCGGCCTGAGTTTCGCTCAACCAACTGGCGCGTCGCAACTGCCTGGACCCCAAATATGAAATTGACAGTCGAGGGCCTCTTGCAAAAAGCCAGGCCCGCCTTCACTTAGGGCGGGCACCTCCGCCTTCACTTAGGGCGGGTAAGGCTGCAAACANTGACAGTCGAGGGCCTCTTGCAAAAAGCCAGGCCCGCCTTCACTTAGGGCGGGCACCTCCGCCTTCACTTAGGGCGGGTAAGGCTGCAAACAAGGCCCCATAGGCTTACAGAGGGCCCTGATCCTCGCATTCCCTCCTCCTTTACTTCGTGAGTCCTCTGAGAAGTCTCTTATTCTGCAGGCATCTTCCCCTTGAGTGCTCTTTCATAGCCTGCGATTACTTGAGGTGCTGTTCTCACGAGTTCTTCTCGTGTGAACCACCGGTCTTCTTTAAGATCCAGATGATGTCTGAAGCTCACACAATACTGCATTCTCGGTTTGGGAGGTCGCCCTCTGCCTGATGGTCGAGGAACAGGCATCACTCGATGCTCGACGATCTGGTCAATGTCCACTTCGCCATGCATGGTTTGGGGCAGCATTGATCTTCTAGAAGGGAACTGCTCAGTAGCAGCAAAGGGTGCTAACTTAGAGGCATGGAACACAGGATAGCTACGCAAGTGAGGTGGGATGCGGATTACATATGAAGGACCGTCTGGTTGATCTCCTACAATGTCTAAGATCTCCCAGGGCCCAAAGAACTGTGGCATTAGCTTGCGGGATATGCTTAACTCCTGACCAAGCTCAACAGCCTTAATCCAGACTCTCTCGCCTACCTGAAAGTTAGAGGGTCGTCTATGTCTATTCTCAGATGCAATCATTGCCTCTTGAGACTTTCTAATGTGTTCAACGGCCTGCTGCAGCATCTGTTCGTACTTGACAGCAAACTCTATGTTGTCGGGTGCTGCAGTGGGTTCTCTTTCTGGTAGCAGAAAGTCAAGGGCAGTTCGGGGCTTCCAACCAAGATGCAGTTGGTTGGGAGTCATGCCGGTAGTACTATGCACAGCATTGTTATACAGGCTGGCAACAAGAGGTAGTTTCTCGTCCCAGTCATCCTGAGTTGGCTTGATATAGTGCCTAAGCAATTGCTGTACTACTCGGTTCATTTGTTCTGCTTGCCCATTTGACTCAGGATGATTTCCTGAAGTCATTTGGAGTTTTG